TAGGGTCGGGCGCCGGCAACACATATGTCGTGTTTTTGATAATCATTGGTATCACAATTCCCACGTGATTCTGGATGTTCTGTCCGACCGGTAGGTCTGCCCAAACGGGTCCGATGCCCAGCCGCTGAAGCTCATCCCGGGGGCCAACACCTGAGAGCATTAAAATTTGCGGCGAACTATACGTGCCTGGGTGTTTTGATAATAACAATTGTATAAAATCATATCATTACACGTGTAACATTTAATAACTAAATCAATGTATAATACAATACAATACCTGCGGACACAATCACCTCTTTATTTGCTTTTACCACATGTTGCTTATTGTTTTTAACAAACTCGACCCCATATGCAGTCGCATGAGCTGATTTGTGGCCAGAGATGAGTACTTTGGTGACAAACGCTCCTGCTACTATATCAAGTTTGGGGCATATATTGGACTGCTCCAGGTATGAATTGGCCGTCGACTGTCGCACACCATTATTAACATTGAATTGCGAAATACCGGTGCCGTACTCTGTGGCCGCGTTTTGGTCTATTATGGGAAAGCCTTGTTCAGCAGTAGCCCCGACCCATTCAGTGATAGTTGGGTCAACATTGGCCACCGGCACTGATATTATGCCTACCGGTCCGCTATAGCCGTGATATTTGGGATCGAAGCTGCGGTTCGTATTGTTTTCCGAGCGCTTAAAATATGGCAACACTTCGTCATAACTCCAACCTTTGGCACCAAAATCGGTGACAAGACTGTTGAAGTACTGATGGCTTCCCCTGTCATATATCATGAAGTTTAGGCACGAACTGCCGCCCAATACCTTACCCCTGACCTCAGGTATACTATGGTTAGCATAAGCCCAGCCGGCGTTGTGTTGCGGTTTGTTGTAATACGGCCAGAGATGTGTCGAGTCCTGAAGGTTTATAAATCCATTGCCCGGTATATCCGTCAGAAGGGCGTCCTGAGCCCCACCCGCCTCTAATAGCAGTACATTATTGCCGTATTTGTTGGCCAAACGACAGGCAACGATAGCACCCGCACTGCCGGCGCCCACGACTATGAAGTCATACGTACTCTTCGTTAGTATCCGATCGGCAAACGAGTTGTGAATTTGTTGTCTCTGTAATAATACTGTGAATACTGTCATCCATTGTATGGATAGTGGAGGGGAGGGCGGTATGAGTGGGTTATATATGTTGTTGTTCATGGATTAAGTTGTATTTATTTTATATAATTTTATTTATAAATAATAGGCGTTCGTATAATTCAAGTACCTAATTATATAGTATTATCTTTTTAAAATAAAGTAACTAGGAAATTACAACTTTTTAATAAGTTATTTATAAAATTATGCATAATTCAAATCAGGAAATGTTATGTTTTTCTTAATTTTAACCTAAATGCAAATTTGTTTTAAATAAATTTATTTATATTAATCATGTGTATATTAATTAATACATTTTAGTATTTTATTTTATTATATTTGCAAAAATACAAAAATTTAATAAATTTTATTTTTTGCATTAATAGTAATGTTTATAACAAATTAATAAACAGTTATAGTTTATAACTCATTAAGTGTATGCCATGAACATAGATGGGAACAATGGGTCCGTTTGGGTCCCATTTGGCCGCCAACTGGTCGTAGGCGTGAGGGTTAAGGGCAGTCGCATCCGGACGTAACGCTATGTCAAACATTATATTCTTCATGAATGCAAACGCCGGCGATGTCTTGTCTTCCACGTGAAATGCGGGACCAAAGTTGCTAGGTGCATTTAAATCAGCTTGAATTGAACAAAATCAAAATCATTATTATTGTAGTTAATGAATGACAATATATTTTTCTGCTAGACATTTTTAGACACTTTTAGAAGTAGCTTTATTATAATTAAATTGTTATATTATAATTTATAATTAACGTACGGTTCATATTGAATTTGTTCAAATAGTTGGCATAAAGGTCGACATTAAGCTTGGTAACTTGCATGCCATTGTCCGAACATGCTTGACGTATTTCATCTAGCTGTTTCTCTTCCGACTTTGTCTCTAACTGTATTTAATTATGAGAGTATAATATGTGGTTATTTAAAAAAATTAGATTGATTGATTAACAAACACTGTATTGTGATTAATAGACACTAATTATTGTTTAATTTTAGTAAAAATGTAACATGTTTAAATATGTATTTTACACAAGAAGCAAGGGAATATGACCTAGTTGATCCATGTATAAATCAGCTAGGTCATATTATCTGACTTGCATCGTTAGAAACTAACTTTAATATTATACTGAGTTATCTGTTCGCTGGTTATCATTGACATGATATCAGGTGTCCGCACATAATAGGCAACAAATTCCCCGTTTTTGGCCAATAGTTTGCTCACGACATGCATTAGTCTGTTTTTATCAGGGATCCAATGGATGGTAAAAACAGACACAATTAGCGATACCTTAGACTCCAATGCCTTCAACACAGGACTCAATGAATCCCAGGATTGGCTCAAGTCTTGGACCAAATACTGGACGGAATCCATGGGTTTGTGGTTTTGTTCGGCAAATGCTATCATATCTGGCGAGACGTCGACCCCAACGATGCGCTTTAAGACTTGAGCCAATCCTGGGATTCATTGAGTCCTGAGATGAAGGCATTGGAGTCTAAGGTATCGCTAATTGTATCTGTTTTTACTATCCATTGGATCCACGATAAGAGCCGACTAATGCATGTCGTAAGCAAACTATTGGCCAAAAACGGGGAATTTGTTGCCTATTATGTGCGGACACCAGATATCATGTCAATGATAACCAGCGAACAGATAACTCAGTATAATATTAAAGTTAGTTTCTAATAAAGAATGTCAGATAATATGACCTAGCTGATTTAAATGTGAGTGGTATTATCGTGATCAGTAAAGTGGGGTTTGTTTTATAAAAAAGAAACGAGCGAATGGCTACAAACGCCTAACTTATGACCACATTTTTAATCACTTGTCTAAGAGACAAACCACTCCACTATACCGATCATTACAATACCACACCCGTCTGGATCACCTAGGTCATATTCCCTTGCTTGTTTTCGTAAAACATAAATTTAAACATGGTATTTTTTAAGAATTAAATAATAATTGGTGTCTGTTAATCACAATACAGTGTTTGTTAATAAATTAATCTAATTTTGCTAAAATAACCATATATAATATTATATTATACTCTAATAATTAAATACAGTTAGAGACAAAGTCGGAAGAGAAACAGCTAGATGAAATGCGTCAAGCTTGTTCGGACAACGGCATGCAAATTACCAAGCTTAATGTCGACGTTTATGCAAACTATTTGCACAAATACAATATGAACCGTACGTTACTTATAAATTATAATATACTAATTTGATTAAATGATTATTAAATCAATACTAATAATATTTAGAGTTAGGTTTTTTGTATTGTTTGCCCAACATTGCTTTAATAGGGCTTTAATATGAATACTACTAAATTAACCAATAAAATAACACTGAACTAAAACTCTTAAGCCAAGCCTACAATAGACATTATATTTAAAGTCAACGATATGGTGAGCACGTGTTTAGGTACAACACATCGTTGCCATCTATGCCGAGACTGTATACGAGAAAATAGGGTAAAAGAACGCATGTTTGTAAAATTGGTTGTTAATTATAAACCTTTCTATCGAGCTATTAATGTCCTAGTATGTAATAAAGAAAACTACTGTAGACACTAAAATACGAGTTTCCTAACACTAATATTTTGATTTTGTTAATTTTAAGCCGATTTAAATGGCCCTAGCAACTTTGGTCCCGCATTTCAGGTGGAGGACAAGACATCGCCGGCGTTTGCATTCATGAAGAATATAATGTTTGACATAGCGTTACGTCCGGACGCGACTGCTCTTAACCCTCACGCTTACGACCAGATGACCGACAAATGGGACCCAAACGGACCCATTGTTCCCATCTATGTTCACGGCATTCACTTAATGAGTTATAAACTATAATTGTTTATTAGTTAGTTATAATTACTAAATATTATTCATTAATAAACATTATTATTAATAGTTACTATTATTAGTATTAGTTATAGATAATTATTAGAATATTTAATAATATGCATAATAAACTCTTTTTAATATTTCTTATAATATTCAAGAAAAAGGAATAGTATGCATTTATTTTTCCACAAAATATTAATAATTAACTCAATTTTGCAGTTAATTTATCAATTATAAAGTTATTCAATAAAATCTTTAATATTTAATTATAGTTTGAGGTAATTGTGCTTAATTATGCACTTTATTTTAATCATTTTAATCATTGTTACAAATGCACAAACATTGTCGAGCAAATATTCTTTTACTATGTTTCAGGCAATTTACACAAAACAAGGTTTACACAGCAATGCTATACTTTAACCACAATTCGGGTAGTGTTCAAAGAATTTATTAGCATTATATACATATTTAATAAAATCCTAATAAAATTTTAATTATTATATTTAATATTTATTTAAAAGTTTACTTTAAAAAAATGTACAGAATTTGGATCATTAAACTTAAATTAATAGATTTAGTTGAACTTAGCATTTTGTAATTAATATTACGTAAACATTTATAGTCAGTTTGTCTAGAATAAAATATGATCATTGTAGGTTCAATAAACACAGTGTTAACCACATTAAATATTTTGCAATAAAAATATGTTTAGTAATGATAATAGCATTTTACTTTTGTATAAATACAATGTATAAAGAAATATAACAAATTTTGTTGTTTAAAATTTGTAACAAAAAATATTAAGTAACCAAAATCATAATTATGGATATATTTCTCCGCAATCCACTCACACCGCCCTCACCCACACTATCCATACAATGGATAACAGTATTCACAGTATTATTACAGAGACAACAGATTCACGACTCGTTTGCCGATCGGATACTAACGAAGAGTACGTATGACTTCATAGTCGTGGGCGCCGGCAGTGCGGGTGCTATAGTTGCCTGTCGTTTGGCCAACAAATACGGCAATAATGTGTTACTCCTGGAGGCGGGTGGGGCTCAGGACGCCCTTCTTAGAGTACGTATGACTTCATAGTCGTGGGCGCCGGCAGTGCGGGTGCTATAGTTGCCTGTCGTTTGGCCAACAAATACGGCAATAATGTGTTACTCCTGGAGGCGGGTGGGGCTCAGGACGCCCTTCTCATGGATATACCGGGTAATGGATATTTAAACCTTCAACAAACTGCTCATCTCTGGCCGTATTATAACGAACCGCAACCGAACGCCGGCTGGGCCTATGAAAATCACACTATACCTGAGGTCAGGGGTCGGGTATTGGGCGGCACTTCGTGCCTAAACTTTATGATATACGACAGAGGAAGCCGTGAGTACTTTGACAGTCTTGACAGTGGTTTTGGTGTCAAAGGTTGGAGTTATAACGAAGTGTTGCCGTATTTCAAGCTCTCGGAAAACCAAACCGACCGCAGCCTCGATCCCAAATATCACGGCTATAGCGGACCGGTAGGCGTAATGTCAGTGCCGGCGGCCAATGTTGACCCAACCATCGCTGCGTGGGTCGCGGCTACTGTTGAACAGGGCTTTCCCATAATAGACCAAAACGCGGCCACAGAGTACGGCACCGGTGTTTTGCAATTCAATATTAATAATGGTGTGCGACAGTCGACAGCCAATTCATACCTGGAGCAGTCCAATATATGCCCCAAACTTGATATAGTAGCAGGAGCGTTTGTTACCAAAGTACTCATCTCTGGCCACCAATCAAGCCATCCGACTGCATATGGCGTCGAGTTTGTTAAAAACAACAAGAAATATGTGGTAAAAGCAAATAAGGAGGTGATTGTGTCCGCAGGTATTGTATTGTATTATACATTGATTTACTTATTAAATGTTATGACACGTGTAATGATATGATTTTATACAATTGTTATTATCAAATCACCCAGGCACGTATAGTTCGCCGCAAATTTTAATGCTCTCAGGTGTTGGCCCCCGGGATGAGCTTCAGCGGCTGGGCATCGAACCCGTTTGGGCAGACCTACCGGTCGGACAGAACATCCAGAATCACGTGGGAATTGTGATACCAATGATTATCAAAAACACGACATATGTGTTGCCGGCGCCCGACCCTAATGTGGAGCAGTTATACGATGTGATCACTCACAAGGCCGGACCACTACTGGTACTGCCCATCACTTTTCTCAACATAAACTCCAGCGTAAACCCAAATCGGGAATATCCGGATCTAACCATATCGGCTCAGATGATCGATAGGGGTGGTCTCAGTTACACTAACATCAACCCAATGGGCGTTCGGGTTCAAGAGTGGCAGAACTACTATTAAAATTTACTTTACGACAACTATCTGGATGTGTTGCCAATCCTGACCCGACCCAAGAGTGTGGGTCAGGTGCGGCTGCGATCCGTTAATCCCATGGATTTGCCTATTATTGAAAACAACTATTTCACTCATCCGGACGACATTCAGGCCATATTAGACGCCATTTCCTATGCCTACTATTTGGCCGAAGAGACAACCGTATCAAAACTCATTAATGTAAACCCACAGCCAATACCCGGCTGTAAATACTGTCTAAAAAAGCCGAAGTGGCGGTGCGTTTCGTATCACAGGTGTGTTATACAGCAAATAGCTCTTAGCTTTCATCATACGGTCGGCAGTTGTCGTATGGGCGGCGCCGGTAGAAGGGATGTGGTGCTGGACGAGAGGCTACGGGTGAGGGGTGTCCGCAATCTAAGGGTAATCGACTCATCAATATATCCGACGGCTATTAACGCCAATATAAACGCGGCGGCGATGTTGGCCGGCGAGAGGGGCGTGGCTTTGGTTTTGGAGGATCATCTAAATAACAACAATTATGGCGGTGTAAAAACTAATAACGACAATATTACTGTTACTGTACCATGAGTTATAATTAATCTAAAACAAAGTTATTAAAATTAATTAAATCGTAAGAGTAATAATCACTTAGTTTATTGAAATTAAATTATTGATAAATTGTAGCATTTATAAAATTGATTAAAACAATATGTTTTGAGTGTTAATAAGTTTTATAAATTTCACCGAGTGAAAACATTATTTAAATTTAATATTTATTCATGTGGAGCTATTAAACCAAACAATAATTTTTCCATGTGAATTTTATTTTTATTTAAATAAAATTTTTAAGCAACTTATTATTTCGTTAAAATATTATATGTTGTAAATTGACTGAAAATTTTCTAGTTAATCTAACTTAATTATACAAATATTGGATCATTTGATAAATAGATTCCTTGAGCGCCTTCTAGTGTCGCTAAAATTACTAAAATGATATCATTATTTAAGTTGACATTCTTAGGCACCAGAAATCAAGTTTCATAAAATTCGCATCAA